TTTAACCCTTAAAAAAAAAAAAAAAAAAAAAAAAAAAAAAATTCTTAAAGTTTGACGTCAAGTTACACAAAAACCATGGTGCAAAAATATAAGAATAGATGCACAAAAAATGTTCGTTGTCTATTCCTTTTCGAGGCGGAAAACAAATAAACAAACCTCCCTCTTATATAACACATAGAATAGACACAAAGTCTTCTATCTAGGAAACCAACCAATCTCTATCATATTCCAGAACACGACACGTTCAATTCCCAATAATATGAAATAACACAAAATTAATTCCTAACAATAGCATCCATTTTTCTTTTTTCTTTTTTTTTTTTTTTTTTTTTTTTATAATTATTAGAAATGTTTGAGAGCAAGATATTTCATTTGATAACAAAGTGATGTAGGATTACCTCTTTATCACATCACTACTTCAACTCAAAACTAAACCTGTTCAATTGAATCCCACGTGCTACGATAAACAATAACGAACAACGTAAAAGAAGGTATTTTTCTAAAGCTTCATATATTTTTGTTAAAATGTAATTTGTGTATTTATTATATCAAAATTTAAGAGAAAAATTTTAATTCATAAAAAATAAAAAGCATTACTTTCTGTTGCCATTCTGCTGAGTGACTGGGAAGCAAAAGAAGACGTCCAATAATAGTTTGAATTTCATGGGCTACATAATCTTCGGCTTTGTTGGCCCAAATAGTATGGACCTGGTCCAATAAATCATAAAAAATCTTATAATTCAGCAAGCCCAAAAATTTAAAAAGAATTGTATTGATTTGCGGTGAACGTGGATCGAACACGTGACCTTCAGATCTTCAGTCTGACGCTCTCCCAACTGAGCTATCCCCGCCTTCGTGGTGTGGTGCATAAAATATTACCGAAAGAAATGGGAATGGAAGATGCATAGGAGCATTGATTGGATGCAACGATATACTTCACTATCTTAGTGGCTTTAATATAGCGACTAACCGAAATAAAATGGAGAAAAAAATTCGTATAATCAATTTTAAAATTATGCTACCATTTGGTATAGATTCGTTAAACCTTTTTTTTTTTTTTCCCAAATTCAATTTTAACTGCACATGTTTCAAATAAAATAATTTTGTACGTAAACTGATAAATTTTCTCTACTTTTTAACCATACATCCTTTGCGTATATCCGCTTTCACAAAATATATTTTCAAGATATACATCAAACAAAAAGTATTCTCTTATAATTGTTGGGGATAGAAAGTTTTTTCATATTTATCACATCATGTCAGGAAGCTGCAACAGTCGACCTTAGCATACCGATTCTTTTCCTTCAACTAATACATTTTCATAGCTTAAAAGAAATCCAACAAAAGGAGAATCAGCTTCAGAATGCAACAACAATTGGGACAAAATGCGGTGGAAATAGTTAAGGCAAAGAAGCTACTATTTTGGATTTTTTAATACTCAATAAATCTAGACGATGATATAAAAACAGTTGTCGGATTATTTATCGACACCATGGACTTAGCTCGACTTGAAAACGAACTAAACTTTTGGATGACCCAAATCTTGATTAATTTGGGGTATTAGTTGGATTAGTAGATTGTGAGTTGGATTAATTGGTAGCCCATCAATATAGGTTTTAAGAAGCCCATTTGCACAAGTCTTTGGCCCATGTTGTGTGTCTTACCTATGTTATATATATCCATATATTTCCAGCCGTTTTCGTGGTGGTGTGTTGGTGTGTGTTGAGAGAGGGTCGAGAGAGGTGAGGGGATAGCTGGCTTGGGGTTGTTGGAGTGAGTCCACTATTGTTGCTTTTTCTTCTCCCTATCACCACCACCATCCCTTCTCCGTTGTGGAGTTTGAGAGAGTTTGGACAATCCAAAGTGAAAGAGAGTTCTTGGGTCGAATCGAGGTAAATCGGTGTTCGTTTGATTATTTTCAGAGCTCGAAATTAAGATTTATCGAGGGGTTTCCGCTACAATTGGTATCAAAACTTGTGTTGATAAATCTGTGATTTTTGGGGCTAAAAACGGCCTGGAGCTGGCAGAAATTAGTGCTGGAAAATGGGCAGAAAATTGGACGAAATCTATTTTGGTGTTTTTCGACCAAACCAGTTGTCTTTTAGAGAAACAGTGACCACTAACGTACTGTGCAGATCGAGTCAGTTCAGAAAAGGTGGCGTGTGGGACTGTCGGCGATGCGCGTGAAGGCGCGTCCAGCGGTTTCAGTCGGTGACTTCTTCAGACGGAATGTTTATGATGATGTGATGGACCTTGTGGTGTTTTCGAATTTCAGTTTGAAGCAATACATTAAAAGTTGGACGATTTTGCCCTTGAACGTTCGGGTGCCAACTGTCGTTTTGTGTTGCCGCGATTGCTGAAAGCTTTAGGATGGGGAGTGATATTCCTAAAGCGGTAAATTCGCATGTCTCGATATTTATGGACCTTCAGACGTAGTCCGCTCGGTATCGTGTTATTTGCCTTTTATTATTGCAGTTAAAACTATCGTGTAAGGTAATTACTTATTTTTTGCATTAGAAGTCATCGTATGGAGTGACGTTAAGTTTGAGGTTATCTTGAAGGGGTAACCATTGCTTGTTGCTAGACCTAGAAATTACATGTTAATTTTTTACCTTAAATTCTTAGTGAATCTGTTACCAATCTTTTATACATTATTAGAATTACATGTGACTTTAGGAAATTTTGTTTGACTATTCTGTATGAATTACGTTGATACTTTGCTTGTGGTCATTATTTGATATTGATGATTTGTGTAGTTCTAAGGCAAGTGTGAAAAATAAGATACGTTTTAACTGTGATAAAATTTGGACATGGTAAAAGAGATTGTCCTGGAAATGATAATAAAAGGAAAGATGAGAGGTAAGGCGTATGTTCGCTTTAGGGTCGAGTGATGACCTATGTCTATGTGAGGTTTATTGGAGAGTAAACTTGGTTACTACATTGCATTTGTGTGTAATCCTTTCTGCATGTATGTGACACTTAATTATGTTGCAATGTTGATGTGTGTAATTGCATGAATTAAAGTAATTTTATTACTTTGTGTAATGTGTTTGCATGCATAGTGGGTTAAGATTTGTGGCGTATTCTATATGCTCTATGAGTTGTGTGAGAGTATGGTAATGAGAAGAAAGATTCTCTTTTATCTTTATGAGCCTGTGTGGTTTGTGAGACCATGTGAGGCAGTCATGTTAGGATTATCTTATTTCTCTTTGTGAGTCTCATTTGTGAGTGTAGTGAAATAATCAACTCTTTTCTTCTATTCTCTTTGTGAGTACCATCTTCACCCTCTTCTTTGTGGATTTTGGAACATTGGTGATTGGAGTAACCTTGTGGTACACGAGTCAATTTAAATTGAGCGTTAATCTTTGTGGTCGTCGAAAGGTATAGATTTGCCATAGTGAGTTTGTGATGCACTAGCAGTGAGGATGTCTTTTAATAAGATAGAGTTTAGATACCTAGGGTACATTGTGATTTGTACCGAAAGATGTAGAGTGTGAAATTTGGATCACGAGTGGAGAAGTGATCAAATGCTGGAATCTCTTATTTGTGAAAGAGACCCAAATCAGGTGGAGTGTGAGAGAGGTACTTCTATCACTATGTTAGATGGAGACCCATTATCCATCAAGGTTGAGAGAAGTAATGTGGTGATAGAGGATTATCCTGGGAGCTTAAAATTATTGTGACTTGCCAGTTAGACATGAGTTAAGTGATTATCTAGTGAGCATGGTGGGCGATGAGAAGAGATATGTGTTCTCGAGGTGGGAATAACACGAAATGAGATAGGATAAGTATGGTAAAATTTTTCGTGAAGTCATTTATGCATTTGTTGCATATGTGTTTGACCGTATGTTGATTAACTTGGTGTAGATCTGTAGTTCTATGTGAACGTGATTTTGAAAGGATCTGTGTGTAATCCTATTACTATATAATAGCTTCATCGCATGATTATTTGTTCATTATGTATACTTATTTCTACTTGAGTGTTTTTTTACCTTAGCCCTGGTGAGTATTGGAGCAGGTATGATATATGTTTCAGGTTGGAAACACGAAGTAAGGTTCGTGATTTCAATTTTATTGGATTACCTTGATTAAGCAAATATAAATTTTGTGTTTTGATTGCTTGCAGATTTATTGAGAATCAAGGTGGAGATTGTTGGATTTTTTAATACCCAATAAATCAGGGCAATGACTTAAAAACAGTTGCCGGATTATTTGTTGACACCATGGACTAAGTTCGACTCAAAAACGAACTACACTTTTGGATGGCCCAAGTCTTGGTTAGTGTTGGGCTTTGGGGTATTAATTGGATTAGTAGATTGTGGTTTGGATTAATTGGTAGCCAATTAACTTAGATTTTAAGAAGCCCATTTGCACAAGTCTTTGGCCCATGTTGTGTGTCTAACCTATGCTATATATATCCATATATTCCCCGCCGTTTTCTTAGTGGTGTATGGGTGTGTGTTGAGAGAAGGTCAAGATAGGTGAGAGGGCAACCGGCTTGGTGGTTGTTGGAATGAGTCCACCATTGTTGCTTTTTCTTCTCCCTATTATCACTAGCAACCCTTCTCCTTTATGGAGTTTGAGAGAGTTTGGACAGTCCAAAGCGAAGGAGAGTTCTTGGGTTGAACCGAGGTAAACCGATGTTTATTTGATTGTTTTTTGAGCCCGAAATCAACACTTATTGAGGGATTTCCACTACAATTACATACCAGCAGAATGCATGACTCAGTATAAGTAGACGTGCTCAAAATTGCGATTCTGAGAATGCCATTTACATTTCAAAAATTTTGTCAAAAAGAAATCCATGCTCAATATAATGACAAGACTGTATTGTATCATAGAAAGACACTAGTGCTAGACGGGCCATAATAAAAAGGTCTAGATGAATATAAAAATAGAGTTGTATCACCTCATCTACGGTTACACAACCCCATTCCCTGTGACAGGCTGAGAGAATTAAAGGGATTTTCATCCTCGTCATGGTGAGAAGGAAAGATATCTTCAAAGAAATGACCCAGATCACCATTTGAAGTATCAAAAGCTAACATCTTCTCCACAGCTGCCTACATTTAGATTCCGCTCATTAGATAGATTAAAAGTTATAAACAAGCTTACTCAATTTGAAGATACTTGGCCCCTGATTCAAGGCCATTATTTGGCAAAAACAAAGTTTTGAATATTGAATTTTAAAAGAATGCGTGATTAAAAAGTAGAAAAAGTTTTGGGTTTACGTGTAAAATATTTTATTATGTAAATGTGTGGGTGAAAATGAGTACGTAGAACAAAGAGTTCTGAAATAATTGTTGTCTAACACCTTGTATAGCTGATCTTGAGCAGATATGTCTTCACTGCAAACTCGCTCTATATTCTTCTTGTTACCAGTAGCCTCTAGTACACATGCTGCTCTCTTTATTACTTCCTCTGGAACTCCTGTACAAGTTATATGATGCCAAAAGTCAGAGAAGTAATACAAATGCATTTGACGTCCATGGACTCTTACCCAGTCACGTGAAGATCGATAACTAAAGCATCCGAAAGGACTCACTCGACCTCAAGAATATTATATGAAAAAGTATATGAGGTGCAAGAAGCCCAAAATTCCAACCCACTCGTAAAATGAAATGCAACTAATTTACTGTATCATGAACCAATAATGCTAAAATCAAATATAAAATGATGAACATTTGATATTATGGTTATCCCATAATCTTGTGCAAAGAGCTGCAGTGCATCATTTATGAGTTTTTAGAATGAAAAGCACAGAAATCAGAATTTCATCTAAAATTGGTGGCCTATGTCACACAGATTCTGAAAAAACAGATTTACATGCTGAGACCCAACTACTGCTTCTCAAAGTTCTATAGAATCATACCAGAAAGTAGTGCACAATGCAGACCTGCAAGATGTAACTCGAGTAAGTGGGAGAGAAAATCTATATCTATCATGAGTTCAATGAACAGTTTAATCACTTACCATAGCTAAGATGCGTACGTCCAGGAACCAACCTGCAGGTGTAGGACAACTAGATTATTGAAATATTATCTCCATGATTACCAATGGAGTTGGGCAAGAATTATGCATATGCTGGATGGAGATAGTAAAGATTCGGTAGTGAAAAGTAAACAAATGATTCAAGAAGAGATGCAATATTGATGCAGCATTAAAAGTCTATTCAAGGCACCGACAGAAATAGAGGCTTTTTTTTTTCTTTTTTTTTTTTAATTGCAATTTGAGACAATTTTAGATTTTATTTACTTGTGTTGTTTCCTACCTAAACTAGGTCATGTTAATCCCTATGTAAAGAGGGTTGACGGTTGTTTTCAATTACGCTTTGATATTGACTACAAGAATATTTTCCTTCCCCCCTCCCCGGTCTCTCTATTCTTTCTTCCAAATCCATATACAATTGTGAGTGGGTCCGTGCATCCAAAGAAATGAGAACCACCATCTAGTAAGCAGATCTTCTCCATCATCCACAGAATGATAGCATAACATACCTATACAAAAATGTGATGTCTTCAACATCTGTAGATTTATCACCTGGGCTTAGCACACTCATGGTGTAATACTTGATTTTTTCAGACTGCGTATTTAGAAATATGAACTCATAAAATTCCTGCTGGAGACAGTGGTACAAGTTCAAATAAATGAACCATTGCAATAACATTGCTACCTCGAGTAAATAGTTGTTGTCAAGTATCTCATTCAAGTGAGTACAAATGAGAACCTGTAATATAAGTGGAGGATCCTCACAAAATTAAACGAATACTCAGTGGAGGATCCAACTAAATTAACAACACATGAAAAAAAAAAAAAAAAAGGTTCTCCATGAAAATACATGCAATACAATATAAGCCAAAAAATATATAGCTTAATTAGTTGTCAATTAGGTGGTTATCAAAATATAAGAATTTACTCCCGTTACAGCCTCTAAAAACAAGGTGAAGTGATAAAATACACACTTTTATAAATGAGAAGTCCAACATTAATTATTTAATGCATATTGAGAGTCTTAATAAATATCTAGCATGTGTAAATGAGGAAATAATTGAACATAAGGCAGAGGATTCTAGCTGTAGTGTTTAATCAATTTTTATTTTATTGTGTGCTTGAAAGAGGCAGATGCACATCTCCTTCAAAGGTGGTTTATCCAGTTACATTTTGCCTCTGCCATTAAATGCATTCGAGGTTCTAAGAGGATTTAGCACTAAAAATGGCTTTGATGAAATATACAAGGTGATTGTTTCTTCCCCCTGAATGTTCCAAATATCACTCGTTGTACAATCTGAAAAGGATGGGTATACCTACCTTTGGAGGATTATTTCTCGAGGCAAAATAATTTATAGCTCCACCAAGGAGACCAATACCATCTGGAAGTGGTATCAAGGAGATATTAGATAATAACAGCAGTAAACTCGCTAGTACTTTAGGTATAAAAGGTAGAAATATCGAGTACTCTCACAATAACTAACCTTCAGAAAGAGTTCCTTTTCCAAATTCATCCAATAAACATAAAGAATGAGAGCTTGCATGCCTAAATTTATGTAAATATATATGTAAAACACGGATAGATCATGAATTATTCACAGTTCAAAAATCACATATATGCATAACATAACTTGCAACTCCACTTTATTCCCACTGTCACCAGCACTGAATGGGACACACAACATGCAATTATATCTCAATAAAAGAAAATTGATATTCAAGAGTTTATTATGCACATATTCTGTATTAGCATACCTCAACATCGTACCCACTTGGTGGAGATCAATCATAAATGTTGATTGTTCAGCAGTCATAAATTTGCTTCCCATTGCACAAAATATCCTTTTTACAGAAGACATATAATAATCTTACTTTCCACGATAATATTCAGCTGCAATAAGATAAATTCAAAAAGGTTGGATAACCAAGAGATAAACCTATCAGTCAAACCCACAGTAGCTGCATCAGCTGGTACAAAACTTCCAATGTGGGAAAGAAAAACAATCAATGCAACCTAAAGAAGAAAAATAACATTAAATGTCCGTGACCGATATAACAGGATTATGTTCTCTTCAGTTTCCAATATGAATAATTTGCTGAGACCTAGGAAAATTCCCTCCAGAATATCTGCAACTGACAACCTAGAAAACATTGCTGCCTAAAATACTATCCAGAAATAAATAAACATGTATGACATTACAAAAATAGTAAAATTATATCATTCTTTTATCTGTTATAATCAAAGCTCTACACTTCCCATCTACCAAAAATAGATTAATATACCAGAATAATTTATTGTACCGATAGCAAAGTTTCTCAACCCCATAGAATATCTTTTGTGATTGCCTGTTTTTCCATTCTTCCCCACTCTGCACCCACATGTTGAAAAACGAAACTGATAAAAAAAGATAAATCAATTTTGCAAGAAAGATCACAAGCCTTCTAAGAACAATAAGCAGAAAGTTTGTGATAGACCCCCAATCCATGCAACTTACCAAAGGCGCAGGAATTAAGGAAAAGCAGACGGCATAATTCCAGCACCAATTACATAATCCCATAATCAGTTACTTAATTTCAGCAGCACCAATTATTCAATTACAGCAATAATTGGGGAGGAAAATCACATATAAATAAGGGGAATCAGCACGTTACCATCATCCAGAAAAGTGGGAGATTCTTTGGAGAGTGTGAACCTCTCGAATGTCCATTGATCTTATTAATTTTCCTTTTTATTATTGAATAAAAAATTTGCTTATTTCATAGCAGATTCTCTCTTTTGTAATCTCTGTTTATCAGTGAAAATTCTCATAATAAAATTCTTAGAGCTATCATTGGTATCAGAGTCGTTACGATCGGGATGGTGAATTTATCAGATCGTGTGGTAGAGTTAGAAGGGGTTCACCAAAAATTGCAAAGCCAGATGGAGAAGATGCGGACTGGGATCGATAGGATGCAGGTAGAAATGCAAAGGGTGCAGAATGTTGAAAAAAATATGGAATTAATTATGGAGCAGTTCACCTTCATGAGATCGAAATGGGAAGAAGCGGAAAGAGAGAAAAAATGTATGGGGCCAGGAGGTAAGGGTTCGGAGTATGCTCTACCGTTCGAAAATTTGTCTGGAGTCGAGGTGAGCAGTTGGGTCAACACTGGAGGCTCGGGTGAACACTGGAAACCCGAAATCAAAGCGAGGTGACTGGAGATGCCGATTTTCATGGGACAAAATCCAGATGACTAGATCTTCAAGGCCGAGCGGTACTTCTTGGTGAATCAATTAATAGATGTAGAGAAATTAGAGTCAGCCAGACTATGCTTCGAAGGAGATGCACTCGCTTGGTTCCAATGGTAGCATCTAAGGAGGGTCTTGCAACTATTAAGACAACATCAATTGTTTGCCTATCGCAAGAAATGAAGCTTTGGTCAGCCAGAAGTAGAATACTTGGGGCACTGCATTTCATACCGGGGTGTGGCAGCAGACAAGTCGAAGATTCAAGCTATGATAGACTGGCCTAGTCCCCGCTCATTCGAGAGTTGAGGGGATTTTTGGGGCTCACAGGGTATTACCGTCGTTTTGTGAAGGATTATGGTAAACTAGCATGGCCATTAACAGAAAGGTTACGTAAGGATAATTTTTTCTGGGATGAGAAAGTCGAGCAAGCATTCACAACACTGAAAACTGCCATGACGTCAGTGCGAGTCCTTGCCCTTCCAGACTTCAACCGTCCCTTTACAAAAGAAACAGATGCTTCGGGCTTTGGCTTGGGAGCTGTGCTAATACAATAATAGCATCCAATTGCGTACTACAGCTGTGCGCTCAATCCAAAGGGAAGGGTGAAGTCAACTTATGAAAGGGAATTGATGGCGATCGTGTTTGCAGTGCAAAAGTGGAAACACTACTTGCTTGGTCACAAATTCTATGTGCGGACGAATCAAAAAAGTTTGAAATTCTTATTGGAGCAACGGCAAGTAAACTCAGAATATCAAAAGTGGCTACTTAAATTAATGGGTTATCAATTCCAGGTTCAATATCAGCCGAGATGGGAAAACAGGGCTGCTGATACCCTTTCCCGTATCAGCTCTTCCACCGAGTTAATAGCAATGTCGGTTCCTGCAGTAGTACAACTAGACACTCTAGCAGAAGAGGTTCAGGCAAACTCACAACTACAAACTATTATTCAAGAACTCAAGCAAAATCCTTCTAGCAGGCTAGACTTTGCGATGGTAAATGGCCAGCTATTGTTTAAAGGACGCTTATTCCTGCCTAAGGGGTCATCATTGATCCCATTGATATTAGAAGAGGGGCACAATAACAAGATCGATGGACACTCAGGCTTTCAAAAAACTTACAGATGTATCACTGAGAATGTCTATTGGGAGGGGATGAAAACTGATATTCAGCAATATGTGAACCAATGTGCAGTTTGTCAACAAAACAAGTATATTGCACTCTCACCGAGAGGCTTGTTGCAACCTCTTTCGATTCCTAATCAGGTTTGGGAGGACATAGCAATGGATTTCATTGAGGGACTACCGAAATCAGGCAACATGGATACAATCTTGGTAGTGGTGGATAGATTAAGCAAGTATGGGCATTTTACAGGGCTCAAGCACCCTTTCACAGCGGCAAGTGTGGCTGGAGTTTTTGTTAAAGAGGTGGTGCGGCTACATGGGGTACCTCGCTCCATTATGTCAGATAGGGACAAGATCTTTGTCAGCCATTTTTGGGAGGAGTTGTTTCGTTTGCAAGGTACTAAGCTCAATTGTAGCACTGCTTACCATCCCCAATCAGATAGATAGTCGAAAGTACTAAATCGCACTCTAGAAACATATCTTCGTTGTTTTGCGTCATCACGACCCAAGTCTTGGTTCAGCTGATTGCCTTGGGCCGAGTTATGGTATAACACATCCTTCCATACAGCAAGCAAGACGACTTTTTTCCAGGTCGAATACGGGCGTGAACCCCCTGCTCTACTGAAATTTGAAAAAGGATCTACCCCAGTTTCAGCAATAGAACAGCAGCTCCTTGAAAGGGATTAGGTTTTAGAGGAATTGAAAGCACAATTATTGCAAGCTCAAGCAAGAATGAAAAGCATAGCTGATCGCAAGAAAAGAAATGTTCAATTTGAGGTTGGGGATCTTGTGTACTTGAAGATTAGGCCGTATCGTAGCAAATCCTTAGCTGCGCGGCCTAATGAGAAGTTAGCACCACGATTTTATGGTCCGTTTGCAGTTGGTTAGAGGATTGGTCAGGTTGCTTATAAGCTAATTCTTCCTCCGACATGTAACATTCATATCGTATTTCATGTATCCCAGCTACATAAGGTAGAAAGGGCAGTGCAGGCTGCGAAGGAAGTACCTAGCCAATTGAATGAGGAGTTGGAGATGTTGGTTGAACCAGAAGCATTACTTGGGGTGCGACCTGGCTTGGGAAGCAACATTCGAGGCTTGGATGTTTTAATACAATGGAAAGGACTACCACCACTTGAGGCCACGTGGGAGCCTGACGACGTAATCAAGCAACAGTTTCCTTCCTTTCACCTTGAGGACAAGGTGAAACTTATGGGGGGAGGTAATAATAGACCCCCAATCCATGCAACTTACCAAAGGCGCAGGAATTAAGAAAAAGCAGACGGCATAATTCCAGCACCAATTATATAATCTCATAATCAGTTACTTAATTTCAGCAGCACCAATTATTCAATTACAGCAATAATTGGGGAGGAAAATCACATATAAATAAGGGGAATCAGCATGTTACCATCATCCAAAAAAGTGGGAGATTCCTTGGAGAGTGTGGACCTCTCGAATGTCCATTGATCTTATTAACTTTCCTTTTTATTATTGAATAAAGAATCTGCTTATCTTATAGCAAATTCACTCTTTTGTAATCTCCGTTTATCAGTGGAAATTCTCATAATAAAATTCTTGGAGCTATCAGTTTGTTCAGTCAAAAAAGATGCTAGTATGTGCAAAGTTGGGTTAGACAGACAACATTATTTTGAAAAGCTTGGAGAAAGTTTTTTAGAGGGAACATTTTGTGATATCTTACCACTAACTTGATGTCCTCAAAAGTATCAAATTGACTCAACTATCTTAAGAGAGTTGACAAAATGACAATTTCGCAGGCAACAACAAAGTTATTCAAAAGTTAAATGCTAAGAAACTGGAGAAGTGAATAAGGGAATTAAAACAATGAAGCAAGAACCGTAACCAAGGGAGTAAGTCCATTTTTGTAAACCTGCTTTATGTAGATACTTTTCCCAGAATAGTTAGGGCCAGTGATGATCTTGATCTGTCCTGAAAAGATGAAACTACGACCTTAATGCGACGATCAACAGGGTATGATATGGTTATAAGTCTACAGCTACTTTGATGAGAAGACATTATGATTTCAAATACCTTCATCCAGAATCTTTGTATCATTTGGAATAAACACATCTACCGTCATTTCCTGTAAAATATGCCTGATAGAAAGAAACAATTTTTTGTATCACCTTTGATGAATGCAATTTGGTAAAAAAGGTGGTTTAAATCCTAGACAGCTCTAACCTTCCGTTTCTAATATCGAGCATGCTTTCTGTGGTCAAAATAGGCCTCACATAATTGTTCTGACGAGCAACAAAAGCTAATGACAAAGAACTATAGAATAATACCCATATCAGAAACTTATACTGAACACCGAGGAAACACAGAACTTCAGAGAGAAGAGCAAGGAAGAGTTGCCAGTAAATTTAAGTCCTGTATACCAATCAAGCTCAGCTGCAAAATTAACAGCTTTGAGTATAGGTGCTGAGAATTGAAGTATGTGCTTGGCAAGGTCTCTTGTAATTGCTCTCTCCATGTCTTGGAAAGAAACAGTAAAAGAGAAATAAGAGAGCATGAATCAATATGAATAATATGTGAGATTAATACAAGTATGTTACAGGCAAAACAAATGGATGGGTTATGCAAAATTTTTAACATTCAAGTTCTTAAGAGTGGGAGTTTGTCACACATGTTCAACTGCAAAATAGTAGACGCATATAGTACCCACGTAACAATTACACCCACATTTGTTGTTGAGAAACGACAAAATCCCTAGTCATTGACATCTTTTTTAAGTCTGGGCTTATAAAAAAATTAATGTTAGTATGCATACCCAAAATTTTATGATATATATCTCCTAAAAGGTCATCAAGTTCCCGTGTCTTTGCAGTGCGGTAGAAAAACTTCTTAGAATCTCCATCCCCGTCTGAAAACTATGCATTGCACAAAACATAAACATGATAGATAATAAGATAATCATGATCACATGTACGATAAAATGCGGCACATGTAAATCGACAACATACAGAAAATTCAAAATCTTGAAGTTTCTCTAGAATTTGTTCGTCAAGTTTTTCTTCAAAAATGCACATTAAGTATCCTGCAGATATGAACAAACACAATTAGTCAGAAAAGGGTGCAGCTTACCTGAAAAAGCTCTGTCCAAGCTCATCTTTAAAATCACTTCATTTTAGACAAAATAAAAGCATGTCTCCTAGACTTTACGAGTTTTAAGTCCTGTGAAGCTGTTTTGGTTAGGATCAAGAAAGGAATTGTTAAGAAAGCAGCTCATAGGCTGTTGAAGAAGCCAGTGCAGGATAATCAAATTAAGATTCTATAGATTACTTAGCCCACGAAAAATGTGCATGATTTGGAAAGAAATTTTACTTTTAGTTATTTTGAAAAAATATAAAGTAATCGAAATAATCTGCAAGCTCGAGGCTGCAGAATGACACAGATGGCTTGGTGGCACTGATTAAGATTTAAAGTATTATTAGCTATATTGAAATTGAATTCCATCACCATTCTAAAATATTAAATCCACCATTAAATTTCAAACCAACCTATCTGGTGTATATAAACAATACAAGGAATGAATTTTTCTCTGGATGTATGAGGAAGCCTTGCAAGTTCCAATGATGACACCTGTAACGCGCAGGTAAGCATTACATTTAACATCTCACACACGGTAAATTTTAAACAAACATGATTAACTAAAGAAATCAAATGCTAGCACCTCTTCCAAAAATTCAGGCAACTCCTCGTATATTTGCCTCAGCTCATCCAACTTAACGGAGGAAAGAGCTTATCAGAACCTCGAGAATGTACAAAAGATATCAGAGTAACGGTGATCTCTAATTGTAAACCAAAAGCCTTAAACGCTACATAATTACTACCTCGCCACAGAAACCATCTTTTACTAGTGTCTCATAATCCTTGTCTTTACTTCGATTAACATCAATAACACCAATTACCTACATCATGTGCAACAACATGCGAATTAAAAACCATTAATATATTATTAACTATAAGGCTTATAGTACATTAGGTGAAGTTTCATGATTTGATTGATCCAATAACTGGCAAACTTAGGAAAAAATCAGAAAACAGTCATATTTTATATAAAGAAAGTTATATAACATAGTACCATGTTAAATTAGTTCAACTCGTGCCAGCAACAACTTTAATTTCGAATTTATACAACTGAGTAGATTTTAGCTGGTGTTTATTAAGAATAATTGCTCAAGAAACAAAGTAACTCCCTTCCCCGTTGTTCTCACCCATTATGTGCATCATCCCCAAATTAACCATTCCCAAGCACAAAACCCCCAAATTTCTTTGAGATCTCCTTGGGGATTGCCATCCCCAAGCTGGTTGGAATAGCTCCATCTAATGTATATGTTCGTCCTTAAACAAAACTGCCAGTTATTACCAATTTCAGCACCCTCTACCATCCTCTGAAATCACTTCCATCCCTGCTAAAATCTCTGCCCCATACCCCCCCCCCCCAACCCAACATCCTGGCCACCCATCTCAAATATTATGACCCCATGTTCATCAAAATTCCCTACTTCACTAATTTCTCCAACCAATATACAGTCATTCATGTGCAATCAAGCTCACACATATGCAAATATAGAAGTTCACAATACATTCTAGTTACTTGTGAAAAAAAGGTGGTAGTATCGGTTAACAATGGTTATGAGAGGGAAGAGGACATATGGAGAGTGGAAAGGAGCAAAACAAGGCAGGGAACGACATGCTGATAGTGGTAACTAGGGTAAATTTGTCAAGTTAATAATAATTATCTACATTAGACATTTTATGAAAGTAACAGCTTAGCTAATTTTACTTTGCTATATGGTCCTTATCAATGAAACTAAAGATTTAATATAGGTACATATTCCTTCTATGGTTTGAGAATTTTGGTTATTTGGTTCCCTTCATTTCATGCAGAGGTTTCCTTACTATCTGCATTTACAGGATTGGATTTTATTCTTTCTCCATTACCTACTAATACCAAGTGCAGAAATGAGAAAGGTTGTTCAATTACATTATTTATCATTAGAAGATCCATCGATTTTCTAAGTTCCCTTTGGATATCATCAACAAAAGAAACAGGAAAATTTCAATAACTATCTCTAAATGAATCCATTTATTTTCTCTCTTATAAATGGCAAAACTTTAGGTCTCTTGGAGAATGAGAGACAAAAGCCTAATTACATGTATTATCTAAGGTAAAATCCTTATTGCTACCGTGAAAAGCCAAGTATTCAGCTGTTCAAACAAAAAATAGGGAGATCAACACATACCAGATTATAGACATATGCCAGATCCGTGGAGAAGTAAATACCAGCCTGGAACGAAATTTAGGCAGCAATATAAAATAAAATAGAGGACCAAAAAAAAGAGTTCAGTAATATAATTGTATATAAAATGATATGTAGCAATAAGTTAATACCTTCTCAACTACATCCAAGTTTAAATATGCAAGTTGTTCTCGAAGAGTTACGGAAATGCCTACTTCAAATATCTTGTTGATATGCAGCAGTGAACAAATGCTCTAGAAAACAAAATTCTTAAAGTTACATATTTGCAAAGAAGAAATAATATTTTAACAGGTTATAAACAGCATACAAATGGAAATGGAGTGGAAATAAAAAGAAAATTGACGGGGAATGGTGGAACTATTGGCATCCAAACATAAAGTTTGAGTCCATGTTTGGCAAAACTTAAAATATTATTTTTAAAGCTGGCTAAACATACTTTTTATCCACACATTTAGTAAGACTGCCAACTTAGTATTATTATCTACATATTTTGTAAAATTCACAACTTATAAGCACTTAAAAGCATGAATAAGCATATGCTTGAGTCTTGTTATTATGTCTTGTGCTCCTTGGACATCAACGTAGCCCAGATATAAACTAGCCGCTTTGGTTCTTGTCAAAGAAAAAGTAAACTGCTAGATATTCACATCTAGTTTATTAGGTGGCCTCATTTTACTAAAAGATGTAATGTCTCAGTACATAATTCTTCTCTTTATGTCATATTAAAAGGTCTTGAGAGTTTGCTATTTCTTAAATCCTGGAAGAGGAACTAGGTTGATACCCGTGCAGCAAATCTTAATCCTTGTCATTACTTCTAAATATTTGAACACAGAGCACATGTACTGTGTTTTTTAGAGTCCGTTTATCCATTTCTGCCAGATCATGAACTCTTGGATATCAGAACATATACTGTCATATTCTCTATCAAATGCTTTCCTGTGGAAGGAAACAAAATCCTTCAAGATAGAATGCTAAAAGAAAGAAAGGAAAACAATGACAAAACAGTGCTCATAGCAAAAGCAGTATAGACATAGTAACGACCTTTCCCATAACCTAGCAAAACGGCATACCTTGAGAAAAGCTGACCAGTCACCACTCCTACACACAGAACTCGGAGAGTTGATTTTCTATAAAAACAAAAGATAATTGACTCAAGATCTCTGGAATATACAAAATGTGAAACAGAACATGGAGAAGAAGAGAATGTTTTATTCAGGGAGAATTCTTCATTCTTAAAAACTTCCTGAAAACAACTAGACAAGCTTATCCATTAAAAAAAAAAAAAAACCAATTTATATAATCATAATGCTAGTTTCCTGCCATCAACTTAACAATGGTCAATTTTGGCAACACACATGAGGAGTTAGACAGTTAAATCAGTTGAATGATTAGATTGGACTCTATTAGAAAAATGAGATGGATAACATAATATTTTTTTTAATAAATAATATCTATAATCAAATATTGATTGGGACCTAAACAACTGGTTGTAATATATAATGGTCATGTTGGATAACTCTACTCATGCAATAATCATATATTAAATGGAAGAGGAAAAAAAGAGGCAAGATTGTGTACCTTAAGTATGTGGGGAATGTCTTTCACAGACTTTAATGTGTCACGCAAAGAAGCCAACAATTCTTCAGCAGAAAGAAAGAATGATATCTTGATCCATTAAGGAAATGCTTCCCTTTCATGCAGATCAAAGATAGAAGATTCATGTACAAAAAGACATTTTGAATTCCTTGGTAATTTATGAAATCGTCTCCATGAAAATGCTCACGAAAACAACACATAACCTTTATGCACTCAGCCTCAAGGCCTCATCTCATTCAGATCAACTCTCAATTTCTACCTTCACTGATTGATGTTGGTAACTATGAGCTAAGCCCAAAATGACAAGGGTGACTTGATGCATTTAGGCCAAGGATACAGTATCAAGACGACCATTCAACTTATCAAGGTTCAGTATAGGCCTCAGGAACCAGTTCCTAGTTAAGAGCAAATATTAGATCGAGGCTTCAAGCTTGCACCAAGCATAACACATCTGAATTTAAACTTACCTCAGGAGGCGTCTCCCCATTGGTGTAACACACTGAAAAAGGAGAGTATATCACTCTGATCATTTTTATTTTTTTTGGGATTGCAATATTATAACAACTAATATCATAGCAAGTCTAGAAATCAGAAGCCTCTGCAAACCTTATTCATCATTCCATATACAGAGAACCTGCAATAGGAAAATATCAGTGTACGTCCACTATAGACCTACAATCAATATTATGTCGCTGCATTTACCCTTCCTTGGATCTTCCAATTCCCATATGGCTTGGATGTTTGTCAATTTGGAATATTTGCAACGCCTCATGGGCAGCTGAATCGACTTTGAGAAAATTGTTTCTTGACTATTAGTTAAGGCATACATCTTAGCATAATGAATCCAACTTTCTGAGAGAAAAGTATACAGATATAGCAGAAATACAAAACCCAAGTACGGAATTATTCATGAAAGGAGGAAAAGAGTAAAATAGAGAAGATACAGTGAAATTTCAGTGAATGAGTCAATCATGATTGATGCAGCCCCAAATTCCTGCTGTTCCATGGTATCTACTATCTTCTCATTCTCTAAAATGGCAAGAAGTCCGCCACTTGCACGGACTTGAACATCACTTCGGACGTCCATCATAGAACTAAGCTGCAGTATACAAAAAGGACAATCAAATGTCTATGAATCTTAACAGGGAGACATGCTATAATCTTCTGTCAACATTTTGAGTCCAGAAGGACCAAAAGAAAGGAAACTTAAGGCATGTGTGAAATTCACAATATGCATATTCATAAAGTTTGGTCAATGCTTCACACTGATCAAGGACCATAAATAAGAGGGTTGCAATTTATTACTCTCTCCTGTATAGAGTTATTAGATCACATTCCAATGGCACTTCTTCCTATAAACAGAAATTTTCTACTTGTCGTGTTGAGCAAATTTCGCTTGTTATTCGACTTACCAAAAGAGAAAAAAGCATAAGTGGTAGGTAACAGAACTATGTGAAAATATTGACAATAAAAAATTGGCTTGTTAATGTGTTGATTGTCTTCCGTCCATAAGAGGAATAGATGAAGAGATAAACATTACGAGGTAATTAATGCTCTAGAAGAAAGTTGGGTGAAGAAATGAAGTATGAGAGGAAACTTTGAAGCCAAAGCGAAAGGGGAAAAATTAGCAACTGGAAATATTTTAAAAGAAGTGGTTTAAAGAATTAATAATGGGGATGGAACATTGTAATCTAGAAACAGGTAGAAGAGGGAGCAGTTTACAAATGCCTTGATGACAATTAAAATTTTTTTATTTCTTCGATAATTAACATCTATTAATGATTTTGATGCTGAGGTCTATTTGCATGCACTTGGTGCTGGAAAAGAAAGAAAAAAATGTGATTCAAGTAAAAAATGACACCTTCGAAAAGACCAAATTGGTCTCTCTAAGGTAAAGGGTCTTTCTATATTTCTGCATTCAGTCTATTGCTGTAAATGAACAAAGACTCACATGCCTCTTCTTTTAATTTTCCTTTACCCCCAACTACATCATCATTATGCCAGGCCATGATCATAGATGTCTCTTCCAACTTCTATCCTTTCTTTATCATCCATACGCATCCCTTTATCTTTATGATTATGTCTTGTTTATATCATGCACAAGAATCTTAAGATACAAGCAACTTGTAAAAGTACATTCAAATTGGGTGGGCAGGTCAATCATGAAAACCCAAGAGATATCACACAACTGGACATGTCAATTTGTAAAGTAAGAGAAAGGTATATCAGCTGTGTTTAAAAAAATAAACGAGTAAAAGAAAGAAAAAAACCCAATCTTTGCAAAAGTCAAACTTGCAAGTATGCAACTTACAAAAGAGATCCTTTCTTTGATATTTAACCCATCATCCATTCCTGTTACTCGAAGGTACGTTAATCTGCTATGAATAAATAAATTAAAAAAAAAAACCAATTACTTAAGTATTACTATAAGCGAATGCTAAAGAAAGGTGATGATTGATCAACAGTTTCTGAAACAATTTCTAGATTTGTCAAGAATACTTAAAATATAAAGCGCAGACTTTATACCATATTCCTAACCATTTATCAAGCACCAACTGATCAAATGACATGATTTGAGCTCTGGTAACTTAAAACTAAAATGCAACTTTACTGCATCACTCAAGATGAAATCTAAAAAGCTTTTCTACTGAAGAATGATTAAATCCTCCATAATCTACACGAATAATATGATCAGCATGGAAATCAAACTCCCCTGCAGGAAAATCTATCAATCCCCTTATACTTCATAGGGGAATTAATCAGATAACTCTGCTAGCAACTTCTTTACAACCGTACTTCAATTATATTCATTAGATTCTGAGAAAATGGTGAAAGCACGATTAATAGAAGTGAATATTTTTTTTTCCTATAATGTGGATTAAGCAGCCAAATGTGCTACAGTAGCTACGGTAATTAGACTGTCTGTGTGCAGAAAGTGTAGTAGATGGCTGTTGTTAGTGAGTAGTGATAATCATCTGCCCAATTAGTGAATTAAATTAAAATTTTGAAGGATATACGTCAGGTACAATGTTCTGCAATTTCTTCACCTGTGCCATGCTTGCTCATAGCTAAATAATGAACTTTTCACGAGCTTTACAGTTGGTGCTTCACTGGTCCCATCTGTATCACTTTCAAAGAGTTAAAAAAATGACTCCACCATGGGAAGTTGAATGAGACATTAGGTAAGAAGCTTACCACTTCTTTGTAAAGCAGCCAAGAAGGATTCTTCACTCTTAGTGCTGGTATAGATTGTGAAGGGCTTGGCTTGATATTTTACTAAGTCAAAGTCAGTCAGAGAGAACTGCATAAGATGCATGAACCCAGAAGGCAAACATGCTGCTAGAGCATTTTCTTCTAAACCTTTTGGGTGGAATCTAAAGACGTGATTGTTATGTTGAGAAAAAAACAAAATTGAAGTAAATTTTCCAAGGAAAAGGGACACTAAATCAAGTATACTATGTCAACTCTGAAAGGGTGGACATAAAAATCTGCTTGGACACTCCACAACCAAATCTTATTGGGGTAAAAAGTTCATACCCATATCAATCAACTGAAAATCTTCACTGCCATCTTCCCAAAATTCCAGCACGTGGAGTTGACAAATACTGGAATCAAAATAAGAGACACCGATTCTGGAAAATGATTTCATTCGAAGTGAGTTTTTCTTTTCTTATTTCAACCTCGTCATAAATATCCAAAATACTATTCGCTTGCAAGATAATCATGACCAAATAATATTTTATAAAGCTGCTCACCTTCGACCCTGCATGACACAAGCCATATAGACCTGTCGCATCCAAACATAGGAAAAATAAGTTTAGGAATAATCTTGTATGAACACTTGAAGCATGTCTGAAAACCTTTTTAATTTTGAATATGGTATGAGGGAATACTTAAGCGAGTATGTGTATTAATACAGGTTCATTAAAAGAATGGACTAAAGCAGTCCAAACCTATTAAGTCAGTCAGGCAAAACACCGTCAGACTTCCCCTTATTATGGCAAGTCAACTACTTCTTTTTGAATGGAGGAATCGCATATCAAAATCCAAGCGCAAATAATTTCAAACGTAATAACAAGTGGAATTGTAACTTTTCTACTCTGATACATTTATTTTATGAATAATATTCTAAAATCATCCCTGTCTTCTTATTCTTCCATCTACTTATAAAAATTTCTCTTTCTAATCATTTTGAATTCACAACTTGAGTGTAAATTTATTTTTTCAAAAAATCATCAATCCCAGAAGAGTCTATGAAATCTATATAAAATAAGCACCCGTGTTTTTCTTCAATTTAAGAGCTTCCCATCCATGCATTAACATCAAGCCGTTTCCACCAAAGATACAGAAGCCAAAATTCAGTTCACAAGTCTAAAAATCTAATCAATTCGGAAATTATCAAATTGATTATTCTGTGAGTTTTGTTTTTGTTTTCCCGCCGATCTTTACTTTCTCAGAAACCAGATCAGAATAAAATTATAAAATACATGTACACGAACACTCATAGAGAAAAAGAGATGATAATCCATTACTATTATTTGGAGAGGAATGGCGCTTCTTACAGTCCACACGCAGTAATGGTTGCACTAGAACAAAATTCCAAGACAAAGGAAAGCTGAAATTACAAAATACCAAAATTAATTACCTGAGGAACGGCTTCCATTTCGCCGATTTCTTCCATTACTTTGTAACCTCAGCGCTGAAAGGGAGAGGGCTTAGGGGATAGAAAGAGAGAGGAGCGAAGCAATTTCGAATACCGTTGGCTTTTATGTTAAGAGTGAAGCAAAAAGGCGGTAAGAAAGCACGAGTCGCGCTTGTGCTTTTCTTTAATTGTAGCGATTTTAGTTCAAAAATCGGCGCTCCAGTGACGACTTCTTTCAAAGGGTCTACTTTTTAGGAATAATTGCAGCAGAAGTTTCAAATTTTTTAAATACTAACAGATTTTTTCTTAATCTTTCATTTATTGCAACCATTACATCAAACATTTCAAAACGTTGCATCTAAGGCCGTTATGGATGGAATCCGTTCAATTTACCAATAACTGACCTAAAAACGTGATTTTGATCATATATTTTACTATTTCTATAAAGATAAAATGGTAATCTCGATATATTTCCCCCTTGGTCAAGATCTGGCCCCAGTACTCCCACACCCACCGAGGCTCCCGTAGCCTCTGATGAATGTCGTTGAGGTAGGCACAGTGGTAGTTGCTTTCGATGGCTACGAATCTTCCTGCACTGGTGGTAAGAAAATATAGGAGTAAGAAATCAAAATGTTTAAAATTTTTAACCTAGAATCGAAATTTTCACATGAAATTAAATAAAACGAAACTAATATACCAAAATGCAAGACCAAAAAAATGAAAACCATTTTCTGGAGAAAAAAATTACGCTAGAACATATACCTGGTAGTTGAGGAAGAGGTAGGAGGCGATTGCAAAAAAATGGAGGCAAAGAAGCAGTGAACCCCACAAGAGATGAGCTTGGAGGCCGAGTCCACCACGAGCTTATTCAACCAGCTAGAGTTGTTATTGTTGGTGCGCGACGGTGCTAATTCCTAAGAAAGTAGTGAGGGGACGATCGTACGACGTCGTATGGTGGGCTCTATAGGACGACATTCTATAGAACTTTTCTTCCACCCCTACTTCTCCTTATCGTAAGAGGAAGCGATGCCGTATGGGTTGCTTGTGACTCCTCCTTCGCCCGCCATCACCATTTGAAAATGAAGTCTTGTGCAAAGTATGAAATTTAGAGAGATAAAAGAGAAGCCGAATATTAGGTACACCGCTACCTCCATCCTCCAGCAATTGTTGTCGAGGAAGTTCTAGAGCACCCTCACCTTCCAGCTTCAGCTCTTGAGGCACTCTTGTTTTTTGACAAACACCAAAATTGTGCCACAACGTAGGGACCGGTCAAGTTTACCATTTTGCCTTATAAAAATAGTTAAAAGATGGTCAAACTCGCTTTTTTAGGTTAACCAATGGTAAATTGGATGGAATCTATCCAAAAGAGCCTCGGATGCAACTTTTTGAAAGGTTTGGAGTGACGGTTACTACAAATGAAAGGTTACAGGAAAGTCTGCTAGTGTTTAAAAGATTTGGAGCTTTTGTTGCAATTACCCCTATTTTTTATGGCAACATGTAAAAGAACCTCTATAAAATACTCGTTTAACATCGTATCTTTATTTTTATTTTTCCCATTTTTCTGTAAAGTAAATTTTCTAAATTTCTCTTCTTAACAAAAATGGGAAAGAAAGAAAATTTTATTTACATAACTAAAAGAAAATGGGGAAAAAGAAAATTTTGTCAGATTTTTTGTAGATTTATCTAAACCAAACGAGCCTAAATCTCTACATTGTCAAAAAGGAACTTCCTCACGTCTTTGTGCTATTTAATGGTATTTAATATTTACATCGAATAAAAATATAAATAAAGATCAACTTATAAAGGATTCGGCTACTCTTTTTAACAAAATTGACTTTTCAAAATGAACCCCTAATTTAATATAGTATCAAAACACATTAGACTCCAAACAAGCAATTCACTTTTTTAAAAAAAAAAAAAAAAAAAAAAAGGAAGGGCACACAAATTTTAAAATCGTTCTGTTCAAACGAACCACCATCTTTGGGGTATGTTAAAGGATAAAATCTCACATTGAATAAAAATGAAAACATAAACCAACTTATAAAAGGTTGTGTCACTCTTCTTAACAAGACTGACCATTTTAAATGAAACTCTAGGTCTTAATATGTATTAATGCGGCTCTTCTTGTAGGTATTATATTATGGGCCAGTTTGCCTCTCTTTTTTTTCATAAATCATTGACGGTTGGTTGAAACATCAAGCACTCGTCTGGATTCGAGGTTTTCACAATCAAGTAAGCTACTTTTCCAAGCCCTTTAAAGGTATGTTTTTTCTAATTCTAGCCATACCCATTCTCCCATCTCTTGCACTCATTTCTCTCTCGTCTGGTCATTGACTTCCCTATTGAAATACAAAAAACGGTAATTAGACCTTTTTCTCGACCATCTACCTTTACCTTTTAATATGGTGTTCGAATGCACAGGTGAGTTTAGGACTAGTAAATAGTAGCTACTTAGACCATGCTCTCAAGCTTGTTAAATTTGTTCCGTCAGTGTAACGAATAAAGTTATTTGTACAAATTTTGTTGAAAATCCATATCTTGTTAGGATCTGCGTTGTTGATTTAAAAAATAATTTTTAAAATGAATGGTGTATATTCCTGCCAACCCACGGTTGACAACTTTAACCATGGTTATACACATAGCATGACTGCAGTGCAAAAACTATATTGTTGTCACTTCTTGAAAAGGTAGCTGAGTCGAGATAAAATTGCTTGGCTGGTTTCCTTGGACTTGGGCTGGCATCATGAACAGGGATTCCGAGATACACTATTTGTTGTCTACCGTTCATGGCATATGATAGTTATCCGCACAGGCGGAGCTATAAAATTATGTTTGGTCGGGGCGGGTAAAATTTTGGGCAGAGTGGATTCTGCTTATCAGAGAGATATAATGGACTAATAAAGATGAGCATAAATGCAAATGAATCAGCTAAATACAATATTGTATATTCTGTCTTCATTTTTCTAAGGAAATAAGAAATGGATTAATTGTTTGAGCCATAAGATTTGCTACCATCAACTCCTATTGAGAAACAGAAAAATGGTGGACTTCTCGGTACATGCTATCATATCTGGGAATGGCGAAGCTCCTTTTCGACCAGATGACCATGGATTTCCGCCATTAGTGCTTCCTTGCTAATCTTCAGGGAAATTTTTGTCATTAGGGCTTTTATTCTCATCTGTCTTATCAAATTGAAGATCCTTGTAGACCATCCGTGGCACCACAAAATTGGCAATCCAGTATGCAAAAAGAAGTATAGCACTGTCATTGATGTAAGAATGGACATCACTGTTAAAAGAAATTATTTGCTGTTAAGAGATTTAATTTTAAGTATATGCCATGACAAACCTTGTCTGAAGCAGGACTGCTATGTCAGGGGAGGCGGCGAGCGGCACTGCAGCGAGAAAGGGGGAAGAAGGTAGAGCCCTGGTCGTAACAGAGAATCTTTTCCAATCTTGCTGAAGCCAGGCAGATTTCTTACTGGAAAAACAAAAGAATTTGGCCGGCTTAATTTCTTGCATATATCGACTCTCAGATAGCGTTGGCGATCGAAGTGAGTGACAATCGATGCACTTCACTTTGTGATTAGGTTGAATTTAGTTTTCTGTTCTACAGTTTGTGGCTAATACCAAAATTTGAGTGTCGTGTACTGAATATGGATAATGTTCTGGGATATGTCGCTGAACGACAGTTTTTCCATTTTATTGACGTGATTTTTTTTAAGACCTCGACTCACTGGTTAAGGCATGGGTAAGTAGAAGTGGTCCTATAGGATTTTATGTTTTGAACCACGCTTGACGTACAGGGTCGGTTCTTACAGATTACTCAAAATGGTGAGTTGGGCATTTTGGGGGGTCATTTTTTAATGAAGTGGATCCTGCACATGTGATTGGCTTGTAAAAGGCCTGCGAGAATAGAAATATTCTTATGTTTTAGTCTATTAGGGCAACTCCAACCTATACACAATTTCACTATTTTTCACCAAATTTCACCATTTTTCACCAAAAACACCACTTCAATCAAACACTAAATCTTACACCATTTTGCATCAAATGTGATAAAAGTCCATTTTGCCCTTTTTTATGTATAACCAAGTTGATATGAAGGGTATTTGTGTCATTTTACATCATACATAAATTTTAATTCATAATTAAGTAGTAATTAATTAATTTATTAATAATATGATCATCATTTGTAATAAACTTTAATCGCACAATTAATAATAATAGATGAACGAATTAAAATAAAAGTATTCAAAACGAAATGTATTAATTGCACATTTGTAAGATGAATATATGAATTTCGATAATTAAATTATGACACTAGGTCGACTTGTCCGTACCATAATTTCGAGATTTGAAATGTATTACGTTGTTTTCAATAACATGATTTCATATTTTCTTAGTTGTGGTATTTTTATTAATTGTACTACATTTTTAAAATATATTAAATAATTTCATATTTTCGTAAACAAAATGTAATTATCTATGTAGTAATTTGTTTAGTAGTAAATCGAATAAATAAATAAATTTTCAACTATATAAATTGTTAAAAATAAAATAAATGAATAAAATGACTAAATACTGTTCATTTAGTGCAACTTTTGGTGTAATGGGTTGGAAATGATTTTTAGTTTGATGCAAAATTTTGTGCAAAATGGTGTAGATTTTGATGCAGGGTTGGAGATGATATTAGATATTCAATTGTCCCACTTGGCTCCTCTTGGTAACCCACCCTGCACCTACCATTGTTTGGGATCCTTCGAGTTTAGATTGTCGCGTTAGCTGTTCCTTCAATTAAATTTCGATATATCAATATAATTTCGAAGTGTCAATTTTGTGGAACGTGATTTAGCATATAATGTGTCGAAATTCAATTGGGGCAATAGACATGGGAATGGGAAAACTAGATATGGTGTGAGTCAAAGAACTCAGCCCTGTTTGGTAGAAAATAAAATTCAAATTTTAATTTAAGTCAAAATCAACAACTAATTTTAACTATGTATTTTATGAGATTCACAATTTTTTAACTATATATTTCTACAACTTATATCAAATATCACTAAAAATTTGGTTTTAATTTTCACCAAATAAGGACTAAATATCGGCATGTCATAAAGTTTCCACAAGGCAAAAATTGTCCAATGGAGAAATTTGCTTCTTCAAAGTTATTGTACAATGGAGAAATTTGCTTCTTCGAAGTTATTGTTGTTGCTTGAATTAAACACAACAAACTAGTGTGGAGAAGCTGAGCATTAATTAATAAATTCAAATGTCTTCAAGAATTTATGACTATGCCTCTATAGGAGGCCCACACAATTTGACTTTTCATACCATGTGCACATTTCGTTTAGATACCTACATGTAACGAGTAATGTTATTTAATTTAACTACGATTATAATTTCAGTCTATGTGACGCTAAAATGATATTAGATACTAAATACAATTAAATGTCATTTAGCCTATCTTATAATCTCAATGGAATAATATTACTCTACAAAAGGCAGATATGCCTAGGCAAGGTTTGATTTGGGCTGGTTTCTATTCTAACTTGAAACCAAAATCAAATTAGTCGATTTGGATGAATTTCAAATTCAAACCAACTCACTCTAACTCTTAATTCGACTCGAATCAAACCAAATAGGTTTGGTTCAATTAGTCGATTTGGACTTTTAGTACAAATTGATTTTAGAAAAAAAAAAATTGTCCAAATTTTGACCCAATTAGATTACAAGATTTAAAATAATTAAATAAATTATTATTATAATAATTATTGACTAACAAATAAAATTTGGTTACCAGAAATAGATTAACAAAAAAATTTAAGAAATTTGTTGCATTTTTATACATTACGTACCCTGACTGCCTGAGTACAGAAAAAAATTAATTATAACATAATGAGCTTGTAAAAGAAAATTTTCGATACTATTACTTATCGACAATATCATAGATTGAAGGGAATCGTGATATAGTATGAGATTAGAGCTTATCTTTTAATTTTTATTTTTCTTTAAAAAAAAAAGGTAAATATATAAGTGAGTTGGGTTGGTTCGATGAACCAATGGTTTGAGACTTCAAATCATGACCAAACCAAATCACTATGGTTTTATTTAAAAAAAAAACAAACAAATTATATATGTCAAATCGACCCGAGTCGGTTTGGTTTGATCGATTTTTTGATTTTTTTGCCTAGAACTAAATGCAGGGGAGAGAAACAATTTCACAAATTGCTT